GTGTAGATTACAAGTTGAAAAGCAATCTGAGGCCTGCTCCTCAGGAGTCCACAAATGTGTTAAAGAAAGGAATTACTACTTTTGTCAGTAGCCTTGAGTTTGAGGTGGGTGTGCACTCCCACTAGAAATTTGACTTTGTTTTTCAAGTCAAAGTGTTAATTTGTATACTGTTCATATGATGTTACTGCCTGGCCATTTTACACTGATCAAAGTTTTTACAAATTACATAGTGCTTTGGACCTCGTTTTCACATATTTAGGAGCATCAGAAAAAAAGAGCCCTCCTTCTGAACACCATATAGTTACGATAAAAAATTTTGATTGACAAAGTCTTGTTTCTTCAGTGGCTTTAGTGGCTTTAATTTGTGTAATGTGCCGTTGCAATCAGTGTAATCCCTGAAGATACAGAACATGAGGAAATGTACTTATAGGTGCAGAATCTGGGTAATGAGTTAAAATTTGGAAGGACCCATTAGTGGAACCAGTTTATGCACTTTCATTCTCTCCAGTTAATAATGTAGATTACAGGCTTAAAATTGAAAACAATTTTAAAATAGTTGGTAAGCATAAATGAGCCTAGTTGACTTAGTTGCTTTGGCTGACCTGAGATGTTTTAATGATTTGAAGGATGAAATAGGGGTTACTCTTAATAGGCTTGTGGATCACACAAAGGGGCTGAGCTTTAACAGGAGAAATCATGTAAATATAAATGGATTTTGCAAAATACCACTTGAAATAATTAGTAATGGATTAAAAGAGGTCTTTTAAGCCATACCTATATGGGATGAATTTCCAGAAGCACAACTTCAGTTTTAAAACGTACTTCTTTAAATGCATATATCTATTAGGCTAGTATATTAAGCACATGCTCATAACTTTTGATGAGTTTAACTTTTTCATCTCTTGCTGATCTTTTGTACCAGAAAATAAATTAGTCTTCAGTATTTTTTTTATTATTTTTTTTTTAGTTTTCAACTGTCTTGAGTGCTTAAAACTTAATTGTATTTTTTGGAAAATATGCTTCATGCGCTTTATAAATGTGGCAGGTGATATTTATGTTAAAATATTTCCGATAAGCATGAGATAGTGTTCTATAATTGTGTATATGACATTAAAGATACTAATGAGGAAAAAATAGTCAGCTTCATTATGTGATTGGGAAGCTCATTGCCCTTTCTGAGTATGTTGTGTTATATGTTGATGGCTGCAAAATGAAGGTATAGAAGGTGTAGTGGATTATGCTATATGTGTTGTTAGCTATTATGCTATGTGTTACTGAGAGCAGGTGTTAGTTAGAATTCTGACTATGATCTTCCAAACCTATATGTATGCATTTAACCTAAGGAGATGGAATTGCTTTGGTTACCGCAGTGGCATCGCTTAATTTTAAGTTTTGCATGTGTAGCCTTCAGGTAGAAGGGAAGCAGATACGGTGGGGCTTTAATGTATTATTTCACCAGAATCTTCTCTGTGTGTGTTGCAGACTTGTAGCAGCAAGATTAAAGGTTTATCTATCTTTATATCCAGTGAATGATTCCTGTGTATTGTGTTATAGGTGTGATTGGTACAAGATTTTTGACAGCCATATTCAGCTTTAAGCATACATTGCTCTAAATGTAAAACAAGCCGAAGTAAAAAATGGTAAATAAAGGGACAGTAAAAGTTGAGAAAGACCATTAGCTGACCAAATACAGGACAGCCCTGGTGACACTATAGTAGCTGTCAAAGGCACTGAGCGTAGTTTGCCAAGAGGCCACCTGCTACTGAAATGCTTTCCATGGCTTTACCAGCCTTGGCTCCAAGTGGTGATTCAACAAATGAAGAAGAGAAAGAGGAGAAATGCTGGAAGAAAATAGGCACATGTGACAGTTATATACATTAAAATATGCAGCAGTAGAGAGAGCTTGAAGGTAGTAAGTGGAAGTGAAATACACTTCTGCTGAGAAAAAGGTGAAATGTAGCATCTGTAAAAGCAGTGGAGATGTATAAAACACAAGGCACTAATTTCACGTAATTCCAATTGCACATTGTTCTAAACCAACCTATGTCCTTTACTAGGTTTGCTTTCAACAGATCACTTCCTTCAGTTCCTTGTATGATAGTGGAAACCAAGTGCTGGCATTAATCGTTTTGCATTTTAAGAAGCCACTCGAGCTTACAGGGTGGGGGTGTCTCATGGTTGCTACAGCTTGTGTGTGCAATGGTTGGAACAGAGCTGTGTGGCTGGTGAGGGAGGGGAGCTGGAAATCACAGCTTCCAGCTAGGGAGGGGAGAGTGAGACCCCCTCTTGGAGGCAGCCTGTGGGGCAGTTCTGAAACTGCAGTCTTAGCGGAATGCAAATGTTAAAGAAAATAAATAGGAAAAAATAGGGGAAAAAATGTAGGAACAGTGAAAAGGAACCCATGATCAGAAGGGAGTGAGAATGCTGAGTTGCTGTAGCTCTTCTGTCTACAGTGAACATAGCCTTTGTGTGAAGCTGAGAGAATACAGAGTGGGCAGGGTGTGCTTGTTTTTTTTCTTAAAAATGGTAAAACCAGGGAGGGGAAAAGCGAGTCCGATTTTTCTGTCTTTTCCTAGCTTAGCCTTTAGCATCTTTAAATATAGCATGGTACTTGCCTTGTTAGGTTGAGCAATGGTCTGTCTAAACCATTACCCTGTTTGGGTAAGAGCTAGGCAGATCCTACAGGGAACCATAAGAAAAACCATAAGAAAAAGCAGTGTATTTAGAGAGAGCTTTCTCCTTATCTTCTGTCGTAGCAGTTTTGGGAAGTACCGTTGGGGTTTTTTTCCCCATGATAAATAATGAATTGAAGATTTTTACAAAAGATCATTCACCATCTGCATGTAATGTCAGATATTTTCAAAGCATTTTAATTCATGGTTGGATGGCTGTACATACTTTTTTAACTAAGCTGAATAGTCACTTCTTGAGCATTGTATGAAAACTTTTGAACAACACAGTATATAAATTGCCTGTAAAATTAGGAAACAAATTCATTGTGTTCTTTAAAGCACGTGATGGACTAAAAAACACAGGCTCTTCCTGCCATAAACATCACCAGAAGTATTATCATTGCGAGGATAGAAATGAGTTAACTAATCTTTAAAGCTATAAATGAAGCTAGAATTGCTATGTGAACTTGTCTCATCTCTCAAAAAATAATTAAATCATTGTAAAGTTTGTTAATTTTTAATCTGGAGGACAGTTACTCTAGACCTAACCTCAGTTGTTTTGATAACACTAGCAAGAATATCTGTGGGCAGATCTATTTTTGAGTGTGTGATTATTCAAGATACCCTTCTAGAAATCATTGTAATATTTAATTAAAATGTTAAAATATTTAATTACTGTAAACCACAAGGGATACTAGTGTTGTAATTGCATTTAAGATGAGGAAGAAAAGTAATTTGTTTTTCAAGTCTTGCTGACTTTATTAGCAGTGGCATCAGCACTTCACCCTTTTTATTGTTTAAAAACTGATTAACTGGAGCATTACTGTAAAACAGGATAATATGAAAAGTTAATATGCATTTTAATACATCACAGTAACACGGTGTGACAGTGTTGAAAGGAATGCCTTTAAACACATCAGTGAAGTTGTTTTATACATTACTGCCTCAATATTTGGAGGGGGTATTTTTTTTCTTGTTCAGCTTGGTTGGCTTTTTATTTGTTTTGATGTTTTGTGATGAGCAAAATGTTTCTTTTTGGAATACATGCTTGGAAGAATGGCTTAAGTGGGAGAATGTAAAATCTGGTATGTGTTACAGTAAACTGGTGTAAGCTACAAAGAGGACAAAATGTTTGAAATTAACCAGTCATTTTTTAATGGGAGTGTTATTAATATTTTAAAGAGAAATTAAACTAATGATGAAAGATACGTGACTGACAGCTGAAAACCTACTTGGGAATATCATAAATTGGCTTGTGCTATGGAGTTGGTTTTATGAGAATAATAATTTAAAAAGTAAATGGAGAAAAACTGCAGTCCTGAATGCCATGTATTTCATGGCTCTTAATTTATATGAAAGTGTTTGCTTCATTTGTCTTAATGTTTCAAAATGTGCCCTAAACTAGTTTATAACTGTATTACAATCTTTAATTTACATAGTAGGTCAGAGAAATAAGTTTATTTTTAAATTCATGTATGCTTACTTGCCTGGATCACTGCTCTCAGCCGATGAAGAGCTCTGGTCCTAGAGGCAAAGTACAAATCAGAATCCACCTCTGTTCCCTTCTGGTTCCTGGTAGGAGGTGGTAGCTGCCAGAGGGTGATTTGGTAATGATCTTGGGGTGGTGGGATTGGGGAACCAAGAGGAAGAGTGCTGGACAACCTGTATTCCAAAAAAATTGGGTTTAACTGTTCTGGCTGAATAATTAAAGATATTAGTACATACCAAAATCAGCAGGTATTTCTGATTTTAGAAATAGACTGCTAAGCATGCACATTTTAACTGAGTTTCCAAATGGCTTGTCTGTATGCTATTTTCACGTTTGGAAGTTGCAAAGAATCTTGATTTTTCTATAAATACAGGGATTGGTGCTATTTAAAACAAACAAACGAACAAAAAAGCACAACAAAAAAAACAACAAAATGAAAACCCAAAAGTAAACCAAACAACAATAAAAAAAGACAAAAAAACCAAAACCACAAAAAAACCCTTGAAATTTCTCCTTTTTATCTTATACCTCCTCTTTTGCACCGTGATAAAGTCAATTTGTAAATTAGTTTTGTTTTTTGGTGAGATGTACAGTGTGTTAACTCATAAATTTTAACTTAAGCAGAAGAAGAAATTTGTGTGACACGTTCATGCCACATAATTTCTAAAACATGAGAAATACAGAAAATGACTGATGTTGTCAGTGAAGTTCTATGTAAATGCTATTGTTTCGAATCTCACATCTATGTAAGGCTTTCCTCAATATTCTGGTGCTTAGTAATGATGTGGTTTTCCTGCTACAGTGAATTTACCTAGAGATTATTTTTTTTCTTAAACCAGAAAGAACTCTGCAATATGATACTTGACTGCTGTGCTCAGCAAAGAACATATGAGAAATTCTTCGGGTTACTGGCAGGGGTGAGTTCTGCTTTCTGATTTTACACTTTACTGTAGACAATTTCATTGGTTAACTATTTTTTGTGTGTCAAATTTAAATTTTAATGGATAAATTAACAGTCTTTTTATTATTCTGAAAATGGTTATATTAGTTGATTAGTTGTATTAGTTGATTGAATTAACATTTTGATTATAATAAGCATAGGGAATGCAGAATGAGAAAACTCATTTTGTATTGGTCTTTTTGCAACAATTCTTATTTGCAACAATTTCTTTTTACAGTACAACAGTAAATCAGTAGCAAAGGAATGCTACTATAAAGAGGTGAAAGTATGATGAGTTACCAGAAAGTATCTTTTTTACAGTGCTAAAGATTAATTTTGGAGACGCCTGTCTTTTACCACTTCATTTGAAGCTGTTAAGTAGGTTTTATGTAGAGTACAAGACTGAATACTTACTGTCCTGGGGTTGTGGGTGGGGGCTTTGTTTGTTTGTTTTTCAGTAAACAGCTAGCTCTTTGTGTGACTAATTGCTAACTTAGTTGCAATTTTGTTAGTTTTCCCTATCTGTGATATTGACAGATCTGACTAGTTGCAATAAAATACTTGTCTTCTTAAGGGAGCAAGTTATGCTGGAAGGGAGTGATTTTTTCCATTTGTTTGTTTTATCTAGTATTTGAGGAAATATGACTGCTGATAATCAGTTATGAAGCACTAACAATGTGAAGCTACATATTCAGTAGAATATAAATGTTAATTTTCATGTTCTTCAGAATGTTTATATCCAAAATGTCTTACCTCTAACTGTGTTCCCTGGTGCTTCTCTAATTTTAAATAGTCATTCAATAATGTCATGAAAAAAAGTGATGATGTTTGGGGTTGCATCAGATGAAAATACTGGATGTATGGAAGTAAAAGAAAGATAATTTGCTGTATTTCAAAACTGATAATTACTAATTTGCAATGCAGATGAGTTTCTTGTTCTGACAAACTGCTGAAAGCAATAAAGTGTTACTCATTTGAAGGTATTTTCTTCTCCTCCAAGTGTTATAGAAAAAGAAAATCTTGCAGTAAATATTTGCACCATTAGGTCACTTACATGTAGGTTATTTATGTCTTTAATATTTTATTTAATCTGGTGGTTTAAACTGTGCAATGTCGTTTCAGCGTTTCTGCATGTTAAAAAAAGAATATATGGAATCCTTTGAAGCTATTTTCAAAGAACAGTATGATACCATTCATCGTTTGGAAACGAACAAACTGAGGAATGTTGCCAAGATGTTTGCTCATCTACTTTACACTGATTCAATTCCCTGGAGTGTAAGTAAAAAAGGCTATTGTCCTAGATTTAGTTTTCAATAATTAAGATCCAATATTCAGAAATAATATGATACATTAATTGCAGTATTTATTCTACAATTTAGGACTACCAGTATTTGTAGCAGACTGGATCATTTTAAGTGTCTTCTCAGACACTGTTGAACAATTCTATGTTACACTCTCTGCTGCCTGTGCATCGTCATCATGCCTTCCCCATTCTTAAGCAGTTGATTTAGAATTTTGAACTTTTAATCAGCAATGTTAATAACAGAACAGTCTCTAAAAAACAAACCTAAATAAACCTTTTAAAATTACATTTATATATTAAATTTGAAGTTTTATCTAACTGTAATAAACTTTAAAATATTGCCGTTTTGTGATTTAAGTGCCAAATAAATAAAGGCAGTCTTGAATTCTGAGAGATTTATTTCTTCATTTTTAATGTTACATTATTATATCAAGGTAACTTGCTGTTCTCTTACTGGTACATTCTTGTTTCAAAGCATAGTCTAATTGTCATTCTTCAGGCACACACCAGTCAGTCCAAGTATTTTACGTCTTTAGAATTTAAGTCCCACATCTTTAGCTTCCCAGAAGTTCACAGACCTGACTTTCTCTTGTGAAGCTTTCCTGGATAAAATAAATTCTTAAAGAATTACTAGTGTAAATATGATCAGAAACTGCTCCCACATGGTATAAAAGAATTTTTGAGGAAGAAAGTCTTGACTAGGAATTACAGGGTTTATGTTCTTGGGGAGTGTGGGGGGAAATCAGTCTTTATTGGTCATTCCAGGAGGATAAGGGTGTTCAAGATAAAAGAATGTATATATGTTGTTTAAACATTTAAGAGTTTTTTCTAAATATTTTTCTAAATATTTTTAGGTCCTTGAGTGTATAATACTGAGTGAAGAAACTACCACATCCTCCAGTAGAATTTTTGTCAAAATATTCTTTCAGGAACTCAGTGAATATATGGGACTTCCTAATTTAAATGCAAGATTAAAAGATGAGTAAGTTGAAATCTCATTTTGAAAACTGTAAATTTAATTAGTTTCTTTATCTGAAGAATTCTGATTTTAAGTTCAAGTAAGGCTGCAGTACTTCAAGAAATAAGTTCATGCATAGATTTAGTCATTGCAAAGAACGTCCCATTAAGCTGAGTGTGTTACCATCAATTTGAGTTCAAGTATATGCATGACTATTTGCAAGATGTATCTATTTTTTCCCAGTGATAGTTCAGCTTGTATAAAAATTTTCCGAGTGTGAGTCTGTTTTTATGTAATAAATGTTACTGTGATTTCTTCTGACAAAACTTAGAGAAAACCACATAAGTATTATGAACTATCAATTACACCTTCCAGTTGCTTGATCTATTTCATGTAAGTTGGGATTTCTTTTGTGTATGATGAGGAATTTAGCAGATGCTTTAACTTATGTAAACTTAAACTTGAAACTATAAGTAGCCCTGTTCGATGGGATTTCAGCATATATACATAAATCTTTGACCTGCTTGGTCAACAAGTATTATCCTTTCCCGTCACAGCCTACTTTGATTTCACAAGTCTCATCAGGGCCTCACAAAATCAGGCTTTCTGTTGTCATAATGTGACAGTAGTATGTAATTCTGTGTGTGAAGAACCTTATAATTTCATAAAAGAGCAAGTTGTTAAATAGCATTTCGATCAGATACATCACACACATATAAACAATGAAAGTATTAAAAAATGCATAAAGAGAAAACTCATGTTGTCCTACAGAGATCTATTCAGTTTCCTTTTCAGTTTATTAATGTCAATGAGAGTTAGAGCTAAGCTGTCATGGTATTTAATTTAGATGTTTGTTTTCATCAGAACATTGCAGCCTTTCTTTGAGGGATTGATGCCTCGGGATAACCCAAGAAACACTCGCTTTGCCATCAATTTCTTCACTTCTATTGGCCTTGGAGGACTAACGTGAGGAACAATTTCCTGATTTTATATTTACTTTCATTCTCCCCTCCCCCTGCCAAAAATAAATAAAATTGAAAAAATATAACTTTTTTTTTGTTAATTAGGGATGAATTACGGGAACATCTTAAAAACGCACCAAAGATGATAATGACACAGAAACAGGATGTTGAGTCAACAGATTCCTCTTCGTCTTCAGAGACAGACTCTTCCTCAGATTCTGATTCTGACAGCAGCAGCAGTAGTAGCTCAGAGTCATCCAGCAGCAGTGACTCCTCATCTAGCAGTGGCAGCAGCAGCGACTCAGGTACTTAAACACTAGCTATAACTATTTACTACTCTTTTATTTGTTTTTACACACCTATTTATTTCTATGTATATTTGTTGAGGAAAACCTAGCTATAGGCAGTGTTAGTTTCTCTGCTTTAAAAACCAATCCATTTCTTAAACTCAGAAGTTTTAAAATATTAAGTGTTCCTCGTGGAAATTTATTTTTAAAATTTAGAAAAACTGAGTTCCATTTTTAGAGACTTAAATATTTGTGGAACATTGTTTCATAGATTTTTTTTTTTTACACAGTTAATACCTGTTGCACAGTACTGTCACTTCAGTTTAGTGTAGGACAGAGGGATTAGTGTCGTTCCCTATTAATATGTCTTTGGGATGATTCCTGGTGAACTGTAGAGACTACAGCTCTTTTTTGATGTCTTGATTGAGTGAGCTTCATGCTTGTGTCCTTCCCTGTAACTACATGCCCCTTAATGGGCAAATGACATTGTTCAGTTCTAGCTGAATTACTCTCCTTCAAGTTTCCATTTCTAATTCCTCTTCATCAGGAAGAGTTTATGTGGTGATACAGTGAAGGCTCTTGTCTATAGAGAAGTCTCCAAGGAAGAATTAGCTTTTGCTGACAACTTAGTATTTTGTAGTTTTATGCATTATAATTAGCGTTTAGCATTTTATAGCATCCTGCTGATGTAGAACCTTCTATTTGACATGAAGTGTCGTAAACATTGCTTAGTCTCTAAAGTCCATGCTAGTGTGAGTTAGTGTGTGCAGTCTCCCCCATGGTATACAACGTGAGCAGATGATAACACAGCATGACTTTCTATAGTACAGAAGCTTGCTGATTCAAAGTTAATTTGATTTATTAGGTGCCTTTGAATTGAAAATGTTGATTAAGAAAATAAAAGCAGTGTGAACTGTTTGTGCTTTGGACATGCATCTTTGTTCTGCGTTGCAATCCTACTGCACAAAGTCTGATTTGTGTGTCATCACATTAATCGCATTAATGACGACAAAGCACTAGAGGAGGGCACAGTTAAACAGGGTCAGAGGAGGCGTTAGTTTAGCAAAGGGCCAGATGGCTCCTGCATAGACAGCTGCAGCTCTGCTGAGCTGCTTGATAGGAACCAGAGAGGTAAGTCCTTAGTGACAAACCAACTGAATCTGCAGTCTGCTAGTACGAACGCTTTATATTTCTAAATTTAGGACCTTCCCTTATACTACTTGTCCATTCTCCATTCAGGAACACATTCATTAAAACTTGCTTTCTGATATCTTTGCAGCCTGGTTTCACTGGTTTTTTTTCCTTGGTTTTTGTGTACTTAAATACAGTGGTCAGAACACTAATTGGAGGTAACTGTATTCTTTAATGGTAAACCTGGTTGAAGTTCACTACTGGTTATATCTCCCATCTCCTATGCTTGCAGCTTTTTAAATCCTTAAAATATCTTTGTAGAATTGAAACATGTTTTTCAGAGGAATGTGCTGCAGTATTTCAGTGTTTAAACAGTGCAATATATAAGAGAAAATAGAAAAACTGCTGATTAGAAATTGAGCGTAGAGCTAAATTAGAGATTACTTCCTTAGTGACGGTTAAAGTGGGGAACTTCAGCAGCTAGCTCAGCACTGCCCTGGAGAGGTCATTCCAACCAAAACAGGACCAGCAGAGAATGAAATCTCTGTTATTAAAGGAGCTCATTCCTGTATATTAACTTTCTCAGGTGTTTTTCTGCATTCTGGTGGATATAAAAATAATAGGGAAAATACTGTTTTAAAAATTTAAAATCTATCTGAAGGGATCTGTCATCGCATTTTATCAGAATTCCAGGAAGCCTTAGTTCAGACATGAGATTAGCCAGCTGCTTGCAGAAACTCAGATATTTGATGTACTATTAAATCAATTTATGGCTCTGTAATTTTCAAAAAGTGACTAGAAAGAGTTCATTGATATGATACCAAAGTTCATACAATAAGGTGAATTAATGGTTATTCTAAATGACTGTAACTTCAGTGTTTACTGAGAAATAATATAAAGAGCAAACAGGAAGAATAAGGCCTCTTCCACTGAGATGAACACTACTGTGTATTTAGAAATACAACTTTTAATCTTAAGTTGTTGACAAAGCTGTCACTATTTCTTCTGAAAATGAGCCAGAGGGCCATTGTTATATTGCTGCAGTGCCACTATCTCAAGCCATTTCAGCCATTTCTGTTTCCTCATAGGATAGTGTTGGGAGATTTTTGCCCACCTGCTGGTTTTAATCTCTGTTGACTGATAAGCTCTTCCAGGAAGTAATTGGAAAAGTAAATGATTTTAAGAGACTGTATTGTCTGGGACAGGGGATCTTTAAAAAAAAAAATTGAAATAAAATATTGTGTGAGTGCTTTGATAGGTGACTTTACAGCTTGTGCCTGAACCCTTTGTACAAGTAAACAAGGGATGATGATGGGTAGAGGTTCTCAAAAGTCAGGCATTCCTTGGAGATAGCTAAGGGATAAAGGCCCTTCTGATGGATACTCATGAGTGGCAGCTACATTTGTACAAATTTGAGTTGTTCCCTCTTAAGCAATTAACTGGGTGAGGAGGGCAGGAAGCAAGGTCTCTGAAACATTCTTGGATCGAAAGGTTTGCAGACCTTATGTCAGATTCACATTTACTGAATTACTTTAACACTGATGTGACTCCTTAGAAATGTCTTGTGTTCAAATGCAGGTTGGCTGGGTTTTTTTGTAAGTTGAGGAAGAAGTTTCTTTTTAGTTTGATCTGCATCATGATCTCGATACCTATATAGGCATTGTAAATGGGATGAAATACAGAAGGCTGTTCCCTGATTTCTTATTTGTGTGCTCTTAAGGTTTTCGTGTGATGTGTTGTGACCTTGCTTTTTGTTAACGTGTGGTTCTTGTGTTAACAGCAGTGGAGTTGTAGATAAATACTCATGCTTAGAGGAAAAATGGAGAATATTCTTGGGTTTAATACTCAGTTCACACTTTTATGGAGAATTTCTGTAAAATAAAGAGCCTGTAATGGAGACAGACATTTAAAAATAGTCAGGACCTGCTCAATTAAAGAATGGATGAATTTTCCCACATTGCATGAGACACTTAGTTGGGAAGGGGGAGGAACAATAAAATGAAAGCTCAGTATTTTGAAAACTTTGTCCAGGTACATACCCACAAAAGTTTTCTGACAAAAAAAAAAAACTGTCTAGAACTTTTTATGTAATTTAACAAGTGTAATGAATTAAAACGCAACTTTATTCCTATAATTTGTTATAATTTCAGATGTTCCTAAAGCCAAAAGAAAGAGAATGCAAAAGAAAAATAGAGAGTCTGATAAAGTTTCCAGGAAAAAACAAGAAAAGAAAAGGAAATCACTTGAAAAGAAAATGGGAAGGAGGCAAGAGGAAAGAAGCGATACTGAGAGCAAATCAGAAAGAGATCACCGACACTTGAAAGAGTCACACAGGAGAGATGATGTATCAAAATACCATCACAGAGATGAGTCCAATGGCAGAGACGGTTATCATAGTGGAAAGGATAGGAACCATGAAAGAAGTAAGGATCTAGAAAATAAACACAATAATTCAAAACCGAAGAAAGCAGAGAGAAGAGTTTCTTTGTCTGATGATGAAAATTACAGACACTGGAGCAAAGATAATGGACATCGCAGTAAAAGAAAAGAAAGATCAAAATCCAGAGAGAGAGCCCATAATAATTCAAGTCCAAGAGAGGAGGAACAAGACAACCGATACAGAAATGGTTCAGAGAAACACCGAGAGAAGTACAACCGTTACTCTGACCAGTACAGAGAATCCAGAAAGAATGAGGACAGACGAAGGGAGAGTTCCCCGGACAGACGAAGGGAGAATTCCCCACACAGACAAAAATAATACCCAACTCGATTTTGAAATAAATGTGCATTTCTGAGCTGTTAAAACTGTATTTTAAAATCTATTCCTGAACTTTCTTTAAAAAATAAATTGTATAAAGTGATAGTTTGCATTTGTAAATTTTACCAGACTTTTTCAAATTTTCAGTACCACTTTTTTATAACTATTGCATTGAGTCTTTCTGTTAAATTCTTCCTTTGGAAAGATGAAACTGTTTATTTTGTGAATAAACTGTTAAGATCTCTGCGAAATGGGTGGTTTTGTCACTTAGTTTCAAATATTTGTAATTGTAACTTTGTAGTCTAAAAAACATGTTTTTTAACTTTGCTTGTTAATTGAAAGCTAGATATGAGGCTATGGTGATAAATGTAAAAAAAGCAGACTACAGTGTAAATGTTACATGACAAGGCTTTATAAAAAAAATTTCCAAACATCAGTATGAGCACTTCAGTCATTCTGTAGCTGTTTATTATTTCAGCTTTGTGAATATGAAAGCAAGTTTGACTAAAATCTTCAGAAAATACTTCAGTTGATTTTTTTTTTTCTTCAGGAGTTAAAAATTGGAGAAGTGGAAAAGCAATATTGCTGTTTTAAATGTGACATTTGAAAGTGTGTCAACTTGTTCTGTTACTTTTCACAATGTTTTTTTAATATTGTAACATCCTGAGCTAGTTACACTTGTGATCTTAGAAACAAGGGAAAAGTTGGGGTTTTTTTCTCAACTATGAATTTGATTTTTAAAGTCATAGACTTCAATTCTGAGCCTATGAAGGATGTGTTTTAGGAAAATCTTTCCCAGTATATTAAAAAAACAAAACATCTGAAATAAGACCTATTTAAAATCTTTTTAGATGTTTTGAACTACATGGCTTGAAGTGCTCAAGTTTATTGGAAGCAAAGCTTACAAGAAAAAATAATCTATTGCTGCGGTAGTTATAAAATTGTACTTGGAGTCATTTGAAGCAACTAGCTCAACATTCGTTGTATGAGTAGTAAAATCGTCTGGTTAAGGCTCTAAATCTCATTAGTAACTAAGGAAAACTTCAAAACTCAGCATGAAATAGGAAGTAGTGTGAATGTGGTCGGTAGGAAAGACAGGTGAGACTTGTATATTATGCCATTTTTGGTGCTGTAAGACTACATTTATGGTTTTTTTTATTCTGTAAAATGAACACAATTGCTGGGCATATGAGAACTTACACATTTCATATGTAAATCGTACTTCATCTTGTATAAAGCATAAAAAAAATACTTGAACTGTTTTATAGCAGAAAATAGAACAATTCCTAAGGAAATAGATCCATTTTGCCTAAATCTTGTCACAACATTTTTCTAAGAAAAATGTCACATTTTTAAAATTTTTTTCTGTATTTAGCAGAATTTATTTCTGCAAGCTTTCATGTAATAAAACATTTTCAGTCAAAAAGACTTGCACAGAAAACATATTGCAGGATAAAAAATAAGGTTTCTATCTTGTTATACTATACAGCTAAAAATGCTTTAGTGGCATCATGAGGTATATATATTTAAACTGTGGTGGGTTTTTGTCCAACACACTTGTCACTTTCAAAATGATTTATGCATTTTGGCAGTGTGTGTGATTCCAGGAAAACTTAATTTGAAAGAATGCTTTCTAAAAAGAATTTTGCTGAGAATTGTTATGCTGCTTTGATAGCTCTCTACAGACATTAGTGAAAATGATCTGTACTTCATAATGGTTTAATTGTACAAATTTAATTTATTTACAGTAATACTCTCCTTACTATGTTATGGGTTTAATAGCATCAATTTTATTAACCCATAACTCTTGAGATATTACTGTTCAAGTTAAAAAGCTTGTTAATGACATTTAATAAATGGTAATACATTAAAACAAATGTGAAAACATAAAACATTTATTAAAAAATTAAGCATTTAATATCAGACATACACATCAGCGTATGCCAGTTTAAACATCTCCATTTTTTGATGTTATTTTATACTGCCTGATAAAAATAGTGTGCTCTTTAATGGTAAAAAAAGGGAGAGGGTTTGATTAGGGCCTGAGCTGTGGTCTTTGCTGCACTTACAATTTCCTGGTGGCTTTTGTTTTTCCCATTTCCAGAAATATTAACAGATATTTAATAGGATGACCAAATAAAGCTGTTACTTTTACCATTGCTACTCTGAGCAGGCTGATGTTAGCTCAAAGCAGGGAGAGGAGGAGCAGTCGTTGTGCTGTGCGTGTGGTCAGAGGGGCGCTCAGCAGAGGGGCAGCCTCTCCCGCCCAGGGCCCTCACCCCTTCCCATGGCATTGCCAACTTCTCAGGCTGGTGCTGAAGCACTTCCTGAGCCCGAGACACTATGTGTGTCTCTGAGTAAGGGCTTGCTCGTTAAGTGACCTAATTCTTCACTTATTTGGGGGGGATTCTGCACTATTATGTGCCAGGAGTTAGCTCCAGTATTTTACCGTACAGTGTGTGTAAAAGTATGTTCTTTTTATAGCTTCTGCCTGATGACTTCCATTTGCTGTTTTCCAATGCGTTTTCTGCATACCGGGGTGTAGTTGTTTCCTGCTTGCCATCATGTGTGTGATTTTTGTAGACCTAAATCCATTCTTTGGATTTCTTTTCCAGAAGTTAAAATTCATCTGTAATCTGTCCTTGTCTGGCACTGCTCTATAGCCCTGATTAGTCCTCCTGCCCTTACTTATTTATGTTACTGTAATCTTTATAAGGGAGAAGAAGTCAAAATACTCTGTATCTTCAAAATGAGGGTATTCCAGAGCTGCACCGTGACACAAGGGTTTTGGGGGTTGTTTTCGGTCCATCCTCTCGATTGCTGTAGAGTCAAGTGATCCACAGTGATCCTGGGCTGCCTTTCCTCAGCTAATTCTAGACCATGCACAGTAACAAAGTGACTCATGTCTGGTCTATAATTAATACTGGAGCTCTGTGTTGGGTTTTGAATAGGAGTTTTGACTGAAAGTCTTCAAGAAGTAGAGGTTCTATGACATTCTTCACTATTTTGCTCGGTGATTAATCCCTGTCACTTAAAAGCGTGATTGAAACAGCCTGGCCTTAGCTCTCTGCAATTGGGTCTGCTTATGACTTGGTTTAATCAATCTCTGCTGTCAGAAGTCACCTAGTGTAGGTGTCTCTGGGCTGAGTTCAGGTAACGGCTTGGCTGACTCTTAGATGAAATAAATTCTGGGCTGCTGTGGTCTTCCTGAACTGCAGGCTCCAATCACAAGTGCTCTTGACTTGGATGAATGAAAATGTCAGAGAACTGTGCTGTTTAATGGCCCTGTACCTAGTGACCTGTTCCATTGGACTTAAAAGTGTGTTTTGAGTGAAGGTGTTCATCGCGATGCGGTGCTGGGCATCAGGGCCTCGGTCTTTGCAGTGTTTGTGAACACAGGACTGTTGTCAGCTTCTTGGTTTGGCTCCCCCAGCCCCTTGTGCTGGTCAACGTTCAGGTGTGAGTTACTGTTGGGTAGGACTGTGGGTACCCACCGCCTTCAGCCGCTGAGGGGAACAGCTGCTCCAGGAAACTTCCAGACTCCGCCTGATCTCAGCTGGTACCAACCAAAAGATGTTTGGGAAGGAACTTGTGGCAACCTGTTCTGAGATTGTGCACTTCAAATTTACCTTTCAAAAGTGGTTGTAATATCCAAGCCCATAGATACAGTAAGAGAGACTGCACCCCTTTTGCTAGGACTCCCTGGCTGAGTTTGAGTTTCCTCATGGTGGGGACATTAGGTGGTGTAAGGATGAGCTGCTGACTCGCCCAGCGAATTCACCATCTGTGTAGGAATAAGTCTTGACTGAAGTGTTTGTAGTATTTTTAAGAACCATAATCCTGTTCAATTTTATTTGGGGCGAGGTTTATGAAGCTTGATTATTCATATACTCCAGTCTAAATAATGTTTTCTTGGGAAAAAACGACTACCGCTGTTTAGGCCGTCTTTTTATATCAGTCATCAAAATATGACCTCATAGTGTGAGAGCAGTTAAATATATTTTGGGAAAAAAATATTCACTCCCCTAAAAATACTTTAAAGTTGTCATTAACAGATCATGATTTCTAAAGCAGTTTTAGTTGTTAAAGCAGTATTGCGGTCTTAAATTCTGGATAGTTCATCTCCACAGTTCTGTACGGAAATGGGAACCAGAACCTGGCTATAAAAAAATATTTGTTCATGTGTTCATGTTAAATTAATTTTACAAACACATAATGTAGATTTTGAAAATGACTAGTTTTACTAATTCAATTTAGACGGTATGTTATTTTAACCTAGCGATATGATGTTAATTTACTTAAGGCTCCAGTAACGTAACTTCTTAACTTTTGAATGCAGGCTGTACTCTGAAAGAGCTTAGCACGTGTCAGCCACCAAAAAAATACATAAGCTGTGGTGGACAATTCCATCTCCAGTAGCAATGCAAGTGCTTCCCTGTCATCAGACTTGTACGGTTTTATGACTATAAAAGAAGACACTAGCTCATCTTTGTTCACCATTCTTAAACTACTTTAAATTATCTTCCACTGTTGAGGAAATGTACCTAACTGTAAGGCTAATTTTCTTGGAGAATCTAAAAAATGAAAGAGTCTGTTATCATGCTTGCACATAGAATTGACTCCAGTTTCTCAAATAATATTCACAGAGCGGAGAAACTTGTCTTTTTAGATGTAAGTTAGTATTTTTAAAAAGCTTTTTTATTAGTTAAAATCTTTTTTAAGATACTGTGAAGTCAAAAATGCAGAATAAAGGAGTATTTTAATTAAAGCTACATAAAACATGTATTACTAAGTTAAAAACTGCATGACCAAAATACTACTTTATACACTGGAAAATCTTGAGGTCACTTCAGAGATGTTCTGCTTTTTATATGTTTTCCTCAAGCAGTCTATAATTTGGCTGAGACTAGAGTCAGGGATTTTCTTTTCTTGGCTGCACCTCATGGCTATCATCAAGCGTTTTCTTCTAACTTAAAAAAACCAAATAAAAACCAAAAAAAAACCAAACAAAAAAACCAAAACAAACAAACAAACAAACAAAAAAAAAAACAAAACAAAAAAACAGGGAGGGGGTGCAGCTTTAGTGTTGTGGGAAAACAGTTTGTTAACCCATAAGGCAGACAAGTCCTTTAAGAAAATAAACTGTCACATTTTGACTCTTTTTAAGCTGTGTCCACTTAGAGTTATCTTTTTCTGTTATTTTGTAAAATGAAGTGAGAATATAAACTGCAACATTTCTTAAAAGGGGAGGGGGGAAGATCAAGGGTGTGGAAGAGGATGCAAAGCTCCAAGAAACGAGAATCTGCCTTCAGTGACAGGGTGCCATGACAGGTTTGGAAGCTCTTCTGAGAGGTGTCTAGGTGTAATGCTGACTGCTTTTGGTGTATTGACTGGTATTGCTCCTTAATTACTTAAATGAAATGTACATTCTCCCTTTAAAATTGCTGGGCCCCTGCCTTCTTTTCAGTTGCCTACGCATTGCTTTTGGAGGTACGTCATATCTCGGTCACAGCTGTGAAATCTCTTGTGCAAGTTCAGATTCTGGCCATTTTGTATAATAAAAAGCTGTGTAAAAATGCTTTTGTCACTAGCTTACCTAAAACTTGTTTTAACTTGAGGAAGATACCTTATTTTCAAGTTCCTATGGATAAGCCCACTCCATCTCATAAAGACTGAACATATTTAGCAACTTTTTTTGCTCTGGAGTAATACATTAATTGGAGACATGCCTATTGATTTAAAAGGGAGAGGTATAAGATCCTTTCATCAGGTTGGTTACAGATGCTGCTCTGTCTTGACTGTATTTGTGTTGCTCAGTATTCTTGCTCTCATTAGGCTTATCCTCATTTTCTCCTGCTTTAGCTACCATTTTTCCATTATTTTTTTTCTAACATTTCTGAACTTTATCACATGCAGCATTAGCCATTTAGAAAGTATAATGCCAAAAATACACATAAAAAATTTACTATGTATCACTTGCATAATGCATCAAAAAATGATCTTTAAAGGATAACTTAGCTAAAGGAGCAGTATGTGCACATACGTGTCATAAAGAACAAGTGTGCAACGTGCTTCTTTCCTCCCCCTTACCTCAGACTAGTGAGTTACAGGACAATTGCAAATTTGATGAGGTTGATCAGTCTTAAATGTGTGAATGTTTCATTCTGGTTGCCTTTACTTTGCACCACCAAGAAGTATTGATGGAGTTGTACAGGCTTCTGAATTGAGATAAAGAGGCAGTTTAAGTGTGGTGAATGCCAGTATTCCCTCAGAGGAGCTGTGGTGGTGCTAGTAGCAGCAGAAAAAGTGAACAGGGGTCAAGCTATAGTGTGGGGTTAGATCCCATAGGCTTCTGTGTGCCTGTAGGGAATACTGAGAGTTGGTATCTTCTTACTGGCAGACTATGTAATTGACCTGAGTCCTTTG